TTTTTTAATCACTGACTTTGCAGCCGGGAGGGGAAGGGAGAGAAATGCTGCAATAAAAGCTACCAGGCGTGAAGTTGTAACCCAGCTTGCTCAGGGTGACCTCCCTGCCAAGACTGCCTTGCAAAGAGGGGGAGTGCAGGCCAAGCAGCAGAGGCACAGGGGGATGCAAATGGGCACAAGGAGGCACTCCTGCTGCAAAGTGACATTGCCACCGTGCCGGCGGGGACGCTGCTGTGGCAGGCAGTGGCACTAATTGCCTTCCTACCCAGCTTGCTCCATCCCTCTCCTTGCCCATCACAGACGGGATATATGCATTAGCTCACACTTTCAGGCTGTTTCAGGCTGCTCCAAGGCAGGAACTTCCAGAGACAGCATGTAAGATTCACCTCTCTGATGAAAAAATGTCGCTTTGCCCTGGGAGACAAGCCTGAGCCCACCCCGGCAGCCACTTCCAACAGGGATGAGGGAGGTCAGTCTAGGGGACAATGCCATGCTTGCACCAACAAACCCAACACTAAGTATTTGGCAATGCCCACAAACTTTTCATTCCTGCTCCCAAAACCCCATCATTTAACTGCATCAGAGCAGGCACAGATGTCTGCGTGGGGTTTTTGGGTTTTTTTTGCCCCAGCTCCTAAAATCCTGTGATGGTGGGAGCAATTCTGCTTGCACTTCCAGAGAAGGATGCTTCCAGCCTTTGCAAATGCTCACGAACATGGCCCTAATGCTTCCAACACAGAGAGGAAGGAGGGAACTCAACCACATTATTAGCTTTAAATATCTCATGACCTTTTCCTGCAAATCTCAAGATCTGAGGTGCATCCCGCCTCACAGTTCGTTAACATTTCATGTTGTCAGCGCGGCCAATGGGTTCAATTAGACTTCAGGACGGCATCTGCAAATTGCTGGCAACCCACAGTAGGAAATCCTCCCTCGGTCTGGCCACCAGCTCTGACGCTGCACAAGAAATACCGTCTTGAGCCCTGCCACATTCCTGGGATGTGCATCGAGCTGGCAAGCGCTCAGCGCACGTGATCTCCCTCTAAAAACGGCGAAAAGAGGGGATGCGGCTCCGCAAAACGCCATGGGAAGGGAGCGAGATGGGCGCAAGGCCTGCCCGTGGCTCCCCGGAGATGCCCGGGATGGTGTCAGGCCCCCCGGCCGCGCAGGGGTGAGCGTGCAGATGTGCGCGCAGGGAGATGGCATGTGCGAGCACTGCTGCTGCTGCTGCTGCTGCTGCTGCGAGTTAACTGAGGGAGCCTGTAAAACCAGAAACAGGCTATTAGTGATCCATTAGGAAAGGGTATCCAGTTCCAGCCTAGGTAAGCCATTAGAGGAACATCTGAGAGCATTAGGAGAGCTCGCTTGGGGCCAAGATGGGGCTATAAAACAGAAGAGGAAACCACGCTAATCTGGCTTGAATTACAAACTTAAAAGCGGGAGAAAAATAAAGGATACCCTAAACATTTAATGTTTTATATTTAGGAGACAGAAGGGGAGATTTTGCCAAAAGGAGAGAATAAAAAACCTGTTTAGGCTACAAATATCCATCTCTCTTCTGGCAGCAGAGAAACCACTAGCCCCTCTTACAGAAAGGGAGGAGTGTGATTTTAAAGTTGCTTGAGTTTCAGAGTGAGCTCAGTGCTGGTGGGGTGGAGGGGAATTTTGGGCCACACGATGTGGCACGATGTGACATGGCTGCATCCCCAACAGCTACGAAATGCTTGTGCCCAGGTTCAAGGGAGCTACTGTGAGGTGGCACATGCTTCACTGCATGCCCATGTGAGAACTCATCATCATCATCCCTCCATGATAGTAATTCCCAGAGCACATCACTGTAATTCCCAGAGCAAACTGCAACATGAGAGCTGCTAAGTGGAAAGGTGCTGCTGAGCAGGGGAAAGGGACTGCAAATGGCATGCTGGGGCTCAAATCCAATTTGCAAAGCACTGGGCAGGTGACAAGGGTGTTCTCCCCACCGCTGTGTCAGCCCCAGAGATTGCTTCATGGAGTGGGGTGCTTGGGCCAGGCACCACTGGACTTTCTCTGGAGCAGGCAAACTGCATTTCTGGCCAGCTCACACTGTGGCAGTCTCGATAAGATCCACTGCTCCCGCCACGGATGGCTTCATCTTCTGGTGCCAAGCCCTGGCATTATTAAAATCCTGAAAGGAAGAGCCTGGAAGAAAGCAGACGCTGATTGAATCAGGCCCTATGGTATTCGACAGCTCGACATCCATCTGATCCTATTAGTGCTCATTGGGTCCTGCCTGCCGAGGTGCTGTGCATAAATCAGACCCTGCAAAGATAACGGGAGGTGGAGAGGTGAAAGAGAAGCTGCTTCTTCTGCCAAGAAACACCACGTGTGAGCAGGGCCTGCATGGATATTCTGTCTCTGGGCAGCCTTGGATGCTCCTTTGTGGGAGCATCCTTCCCACAGTGCTGCCAAGTACATGCTAAAAACCCAGAGCAGAGGTGGGCTGCCATGAGGAGGCAGGGACAGGGCTCAGCCTGTGGACCCTGGGCAGACAGTGACGTGCCAGAACATGAGGTTACCCAACTGCTGTTTGCTGGCAGGGACATCTTCTCTCCCTGCTGAGCTCCAAACTGCCCCATTGTCAGTGTGCAGGTTGTGTGGGCATAAAAAGCAAGGACTTCTCTGTGCCAGCTGCCAGTGGGGACAGCAAGAGCCAAGGTGGGGGGCAGCTCGTGGCAAGAGACTTGCACCTCCATGAGAATTAAGACACCTCCATGCAAGCATCACATGTGTGACCACCTCATCCTTTCTCAGGGCACTCATCCCTTTGAGCTGAGACCCAACACCAGCACTGCAGGGCAAGAGGGACACATGAGCAAGACTTGGACCTACCAAACCGTGTCCTTCCCTCTTCTGTCTCGATTTGGGGGGACAGGGACACTCTCCAAAATAATAAGAAGGCAAAAAAAGAGTGCAGGGAGGCTTGGGCATGCTCCCAGCATGATGGCATCGGTGGGGTTAATTTTGGGTACAAACACCTGCATTTACAGGGTGCTCAGCTGGGCTAAGCAGGTTGAACGTACCAGTGGGGTCTGGGGTCAGAGCAGCTCCAGCTGCTGCAGCACTGCCTTTCCCTGGTGTTTGGGAAACGATTGAATTAGGCTTTGCAAATAATTCATCTGATGAATAGCGGCAGTTTTCCTCAAATCATCCACAAATCAAATTTTTCATTAACCAGCCAGCAGGGTAGGGAGTCAGAAAACAAGGCTGGCACCTCACTCACTGAATGCTTGCACTTGCTCACTGAGCAAATTATTCCCCAAACACTCTTCTCCATCAGTCAGTGATGAGGAACATGTCTTTTGCAAGAGGATATTGATTAAAAGCTGCGCCCAGGACTGCTGCACCTTCCCGAAATGCTGGGAAATGAAACCCTTCCCAGCCATCCTTGTACCCACCAGGAGAGGGTCTCTCTGCACCTCAGGGTGCTTTTACATAGAAGAAGTTACATTTTTACTGCCCAAAACCTGCCTTTACCAACAAGGATGGCCCTGCCACCAGTGTCACCGACACCTCCATGAATTTCCCACTGTCATTGCCTGCCTGAGGGCACTGATGGAGAGGCCACAGCATCCCCTCAGGGCTCTGCCAGAGGGGACTGGCATGGCTTGATTCTGCAGTTATGGTACCCCACACCCAGAGATGGAGGGACCAGCCACTCCGAGGGTGCTGAGGTAGGAGGTAGCTCGGTGGCTACCCCAACATTTTTGGGTGCAAACCAGAGTATTTGGCTGTCGCAGGGTAAAACCATCAGCTTTTTCCACCACAGTTGCGCACCTTGGGAAAAAAACAGTGTTATGTTTGGCAGTTCCCACTAAATTTTCCCCTTTTTATACAGATTGTACAGTTTGAGCATTCCTTCCCCAGATGAAAAGAAATACCTACAAAAAACTAATAGCCAATCTCTACCAATGCTTTCTAACCCCTCTGGATGCTCCACAGATGCTCTCCCACTACTAGGAGAGAAGCAAAGGGCAAAGAGGCAAGCAGGAAAACCCTCTCATTTTCAGAGCCATCATCAAATACTGCAATTTGAAACACAACCCGTGGTGCTGCCTCAATAAAAAATCCAAGCAAAGGGAAAAAGTCACCAAGACACCTCACAGAGCCACGAGCAAAGACTCCCATCCACTCTTCCAACATTCCTCTCCCCAGGAAGTGCTGGCTGGAAGAAAATCCCACTTGGCTCTTTGATGCAGGTGCCCAGGGACCCAGTCATGCCTCTTATTTCACTTTTGGTTTTTTTAGCAAAATCCTTTATCGAGCAAAGCACCTAACTGGCTTTCAGCTGGCCCAGCTTGGGCACAGAAGGGATGCTAGATGAACTATGCCAGAGCAGCAGCACCTCCTCTCCAGCCACAGAATGCATTCCTACCCAACTTGAGCATAAAAGCAGCACACAGAGGTTTTAAAAAAAAAAAAAACCAAAAAAAACCCCGTTTGTTATCTTACTGCAGTAACAAATGAAATCTGTCCTCCAGGCTACCAAGGATTTCACTGACTATTTTTTTTAAAGAAACAAGAAATAAAAGTAAGAAATACGATAACATCTCAGCAATTGCTCGATGACTGTGCTCTGAGTTATGGTGAGCGGTATTTTATCTCCAGTTCAAAATCTAAATGTGGCAGAGGCACATTTAAATGTGGTGACATTTATACTTTAAATGCCTTTTACGTCTCGTTGGCAAGTTTTATACAGAACATATGTATGGAAAGTAGATAGGGGCCATGGATGAAAATGTGGAGCAGGGAGAGGCTGCAGAGCCATTTGTAGGCAGAGTGTGAGCCACAAAAAAGGTGGAGAGGAAGAGAAAAGCAATGAGAAAGAGAAGGAGAGGAACAGGCTCCACGTTGCCTGAGCAGTAAATACACATATTTTTTGTCCCTGAACCCTTTTTTGCCATGCAGCTTGTTCAGCAGCTCGTCCCTGTCCCTCACATGCCAGGCAGTGCAGGGTCACTCACGTGTTGCCACTGGTCCAGGATGAGGGGCCGGTACCGCAGGAAGAACTTCAGTGGGAAGGACTCAGGGTCAGGCCATGATGAGGGGTTTTGCCATGACACCTCCAGTCTTCGAGGGTTATTGGGCACAGGTTTGGCCACCACACTCTCCGGAGGGTCTGGTTTTACTGTAAGAGAAGAAAAAAGGGGGATTGGCAAAGCTTTGCATGTGGCTTTCTCCCTTTACACCCCCTGGCAAAGCTGGCTGGTTTTGCACCACGTGCTTTCCAAGAGAAGCAGCCAACATGCATCCTTTCCCCAAACTAATTAGATGCAAATCACTTTTTGCTGTCCAGGTCAGCTGTATGGCTGTCCTGGCTCAAAATACCACCACCAAGGAGGTGACAGCACTGGAGACACATGGAAACAACCAGGCCAGGGCAGAGAGCGTCCTTCCTACACAGGGCTAATTGGATCAGGATGAGGAGCCCACCAAGCCAAAATCTTGCACTTTCCTTGCAACTGCTGTGAGTTGTGATTTCTGTGAGTCTGACACACATTCAAGCCTCACAATAATGTGGCAGAGTTTGGCCCCTGAGCTCAGGGCTGGGGTTTTGAGGATTCAAAGCATTGGCACATTGTATTTACTAAAAGAGAAGGATTGCCCTGGTCACCTTCCAACCCAGCTCTCTCTCTCTCTCACTGCCCTGTTCTGCTTTTGGGATATGGGGATATTTTCTTGCTACCTGCCATGTATTTCAGGTGAATATTAATTGGCTGTGAGCTATGCAACGTGCTTTGATGTTGCAGCTACTTCCAGAGTGCCGGAAGCTCATCCCAGACAGGCTGTGATGGATGTCGCTGCCTGTTGCAGAGCAGTCCGTGCTCCTTGCCAAGGGTTTGATCAAATCCTGACAGCTCGAACTCCCAATTGCAACAGCAAAGCTAAAAAATTTGTGTACGCCCATGCTTATCCTTTAATCATGGTCAGGAAGGAGCTGGACACATGGAGCTAGGCACACAGCTGTGCCAGAGGTGGATGAGGGCTCTCTGTGCACTCCAAAAATAGCAATGCACATGAGTGTTCCTGTCCTGCGAAGGCCCTTAAGCCCCTTCCAAGTCCACACGCAGGCAAATGGATCCCTCCTGACCTGAAAATTTCTGGATTGAACAATGGTCCCCGGGCTCTGAGCAGAAGCCTGTCAAGATGTCAGCATCAAACTCCCCTCCCCAGGATGGGGGAGGGATGGTGGGGCTGTGGGCAGCCCCCTTCTGCCCGGCAGAGCTCCTGCCCTGCAGTCAGGTCTTCTCCATGCTGTCCCACCTGCAGTGGGTGGGCAGTGATGCCCTCACAGGGGTTTGCTTACCCTGAGAGAGGAAGGAGGTGGTGGTGAGTGAGCTGCTCCCTCATCACCCAAGCCTGCCTGCAGCCCTGCCCAGTGTGTGAAAGGCATCTTTCCCTCACTCAAATGAGACCAGGTGCTGATGTCTGGCCAGTCTGGGGCAAGTGCAGTCACACGTGAGCTGCTTGCTGCCACCCCTGCTCCAGAATGATGGTGGCATTGCAGCAACTGTCCCTGCACTGCCTCCGCTTGCCCCTCTCAGGAGAAACCAGCCTGTGATGCTTTGGGAACTCAGTTCCTTGTCTGCAGGTGAGGCAGAGAGGGTGCTGAAGTGAAGCCACAGCCCAGCTACCTCAATGGGACCTGTTTCCCCTGAGACATGGCCCACCACTACCTCTGTCTCCCCAGCCTCCTCTTGCTCAGCACCTGGGCACACACCCTGCTGTGTGCGTGCCATCACCACCATCATCTTCACCACCACCTGGCTTTCACCACCTTCCCTCTGTCACAGTGAGTGCCAGCAGGGCTGGACAGCTTCCTCCTTCCCAATGTCATTTCAGGCTCAGAGGCTGCTCCCAGAGACTCTGGCAAGGTCTGGCCAGCTGGTGAGCCTGACCACAGTGCCCAGTGCCCCCTCCCAGCTCCCACAGGCTCCTCTCTGTGGCAGGACAGGGCGCAATTTTCCATTTACAGCTTTATCCTCGGCAGCAGGAACGCTTCTCTGGGGCTGTGCTGTGCTGAGCTACTCCAGATGGCTCTGCAATTCCTCTGCTCACTCCGAATCCCAGGGCTGGGGCTGGACATCAGCTTCCATCGACAGGGACTTGGAGTCCAAACACATACGGAAAAGTATAAATCCAGCATTGGCTCAGCAGGATGGGTTTGCAAAACAAAAGTCTGTTTGGCTGAACGAATGCAGATGACTGTGAACTGCAGCTCTGCAGCGAGGAGGTGGGAAGGAAAGTGCTGGGCTAGGGATGGATGCAATGGATACTCCCTGGGGTAATGCAGGGGGCCTGGCCCTGGTTTTTAGCATGCCAGCCTGAAGGCATGATTAAATTCAGTTGGGCACAGCAAATGTGCTTGGGCAGCAATGAGAAATACTACTGTGACCGCTAAAGGAAGCCAGGAAAAAAAGTGCCCTGAGGCTGAGGTGGGAGTCACCTGCCCATTTTGCAGGGATGTGATGCCTAGCCTCTCTCCTGTGAGTTGGACACTGTTGCTGGTGCACAGAGGAAGGCTGCCCTGGCTGCAGTTTCATGTTCCCAGCTGCTATTCAAACAGCTCAGCAGATAAACAGGAAAACCAAAAGTCTCTGGTACCTCCTCATGTGTCCCTCCATCCCCAGGATTCCTGCCCAGGCTAAAGAGCACAGCAGGACCAATCCCTCCCAAGTCACAAAGCCAAAACTGTTCCTGCCATGTCCTTCCAAGGCAGCAGGGACACAACAGCCAGGAGAGGGGCCTATACCTCTGGCAGCCAGTCCAGAGAGGACAAACCTATATCTCTTAGGACAGACCTCATCCTGCTGTGCTCATCACGGGAAACACCTGGACTGGTCCCACGGGGGCAGCTGAGGAGGGAGGGGAGACAGGCTGTGTCCAGCTTTCTGATTTCTGTATGACCTTGAAGGAGTCCTTTATACCCTGCAGACAGGGACGAGTGCACCTCCTTCCCCAGCCTTTGTCTGCCTCCATTCAGCCTGCACATGGTGAGGCAGGGGCTGTCTGGCTGTACATCAGCCAGCATAATAGAGCCCTGTCCTCACTGAGGGCCTGCAGGCAGTAACGTAATAAAAGCAGTAATAGTAATAATAATAATGGATGATGGGCATTAGGCTGAGTACTGGTTAAGCGGCTATAAAACCAGATGTAATATTATCCTGCAGAGCTAAGGGAGCATCATCAGACATTCCTGGGAAGGCGACTTGGCCAGGAGGCTACTCACAGCTCTTCCCTCTTGGTTTTTGGCTGCTGTGTCTAAGACAGGGCTTGAAGCGCAAGAAGAGCATCAGGGAGCAGCTTCTCCTTAAGGCGCTGCACGCTCACGCCTGTTAACTGTGAGTCTTCAGCTATCCATCGCCCCTGGCTGTTGTCAGACATGTCTCAAAATGAATCTGGTGGTTCATAAAGGCAGCTGAGACCCTGTGGCATGAAGCGGCCCGTCGCCCATCCCATCTCTCCAACAAGCACTAAAATGGATCCCTTGCGGCCATTAAATATCCCCTGGCATTTTCCATGAGCAGAGGGATATTAAACTCCATGTCTTAGCCAAATGTCAGTCTAGGTAATTTAATTCTGCCTTCCTAAGTAGTATGAATTGAACTGACCTTCTGCTTAGGCAACTGTATACCTGTGTTCAGAGACTCTGAATTTCATACAGACATGGGCATCATGCAGCCTCTCCGAGATGCTCTGCATCTTCATCAGCCCAGAGCTGGAATTGGAATGATCAGATGACCTTCTCAAGGTCACACAAGGCATGGGCGGCACATTTGATGAAGGTATCCACACCTGCAAGGCTCCATCCAAGGCTGCCTTCCTCATTTTAATGCTGTGCATCCTCTCATATTTTTCCCCAGGATGGTATGAGGAGAAAGGTGCTGAGGCAGGATGCTGATGTTGCTGCATGGTGGTGCTGTCCTGGCTTTCCTGGGGAATGCAAAAAACACCTCTTGGGCTGAAACACAAGTGAGGAAGGTGTGGTTGTGTCCTAGTCGGCCAAAAATGTCCCCATGCTGTTCCAGCCATCATGAAGGAGGTGTCAGCTCCTTACACACCACCTCACTCCTCCCTGGCATCTTCCTCTGCCTCCAGGTCCTCTTCCCTACAGTCCCTTTTCCTCCTCTCTGAGGCTGGAGCCTCATGTCCGCAGGGCTCTGCAGAACCTCCTCACACTCACCTTTATTAATATTAATACTTTTGCAGAAGATGTAATTATGAAAACAATTTGCAGGAGCAAGATGAGGAAGGAGGCAGTCCGGATCTCCTACCAATAGGAGATGGGGGCCAGAGGGCCGGAAAAGCTTTTCCAGTCATCACTGAAAATGACAATGCAGAGTGACCCTTTGCAGCTGGCTGCTAATAACCAGCACGGCATGACTGCCAGCAAGGCATGGGCTCAGGACAGCAAAAGAAAGTACCAGTCATTTTCCACTCAATTAGAGACCATCTTCCCAGCGGCTGGGGGAAGGATTTTCCTCTGGCGACTTCGGGGATGGAGAAAGGAGTGAAGAAGCAAAACCAAAGGAGGTCACTCATTCCCAGGGGGTTTTTGTGCTTGCCCAGGCTGGATGGGTGGTCTGCCCCAGCAGAGGGTCTTCTCCCAGCTCAGATGGGAGGGAGAGCTGCCTGCCCTGCGCTGCTCTCTCCATGGCTTTGGGTTGCTCTGTCCCCAGCAGGGCATGAGATCGGGGCTACGCGGCTGCACTTTAACCTCCATGCAGAAGATATGATGTTTTTCTCTAGGCTAAGGGAAAAACACAGGGCAGGCTCTGACAGCCAGAGCCCAGGGATTTCTGGAGAGGCATCACACAGGTCCTGGATGACACTGTCTCTTCATTTTAGCAGGATGTGTGCAGATGTTGCAATGTTCCCACTCAGCATTTTCTCAATGAGCCAAAGTAGTGGCTTTGCCCCGAGCCATAGGTTTTCCACTCTCCATCTAGCAAAGGGAAACCCAGAAATATCTCCCAGATGAGAGCTCATCAGGCCAGCTGAGATCCCCAGAGAACCTACTGGATGCTAGATCCACACCTCCAGCACTCCCCACACAGTCCTGGATTGCAGCTGCAGAGAGGAAAGCTGGAAGAGACACTGAAGCTTCAGTGAGGACTGCAGGCAACCTGGGGCAAAACTGCCTAGCAAAATGCAGAAATGCAGTGCACTTAACACCAGGATGGCATGAGGAGAGGTTCCACTTGGGGTGGGTGGTGTTGTCAGCAGCAGCAGATGCTGTAATGATCTGCTAAGCCTGCCACTGCCTGCTTCAGCACTCTGTCACCACCCTGTCCGTGCTGCTGGTGCATGGCACCTGTACCAAATCCTGAGGAGGAGAATTTCGCAGTTGTGCAGAATATGGAGATTTTGAGGCCACTGGATACTGAAGTGGTCATGGGAGTGGGCTGGTGCAGGACATGGCCTCTCCTATCAGCACCAGCCCATCACCCCTTCCCCAAGTGCCATCCTGGAGCCAGGTGATGCCAGGTGGTGTAACCCCTCAGTGCACTGCTGAGACGTGTCCAGGCACCCTGCACCCTTCCAGGCACTTGTGCAAGAGGCAGCAACAGTAGACCCAAGCTAAGGGCTGGCCCGGGGCAGTGCTGGCCTCTGCTCACCACTCCCCCGACCTGGGCCGAGTTCAAACTGCTGCACTGGATCCAGCTTTGTGCTGGTGTTGGGATGCCCGAGGCTTGCAGCTGGGTGTGCTTCCCCAGGGGAGCTGCCCTTGTGTGCTGGATGGAGGAGCAGATGTTTAGGAAGCTAGGCAGGGCTTGGGTGGGATACAGATGTTACAAGATGGTGCCCTGAACTCCTGCAGGAGGGAATGCAAGGAACTTGGAAAATGTTGCTTAATTGCTGTCCTGGGTCAGGCAGGCTGGAGGTTACCTTCATTTTTAAGGAGTGTATCTTCCACAAACACAACAATTTCCATTTAAAGGCACCCAAGTGATTGAAATTCCACCGCTTCCCTTCTAAGCTCTCTCCCTTGTTATCAGCATTCCCAAAGCACTGATGAACACAAGCTTCAGGTATGGACCATGGCTGCAGACACATAGCAGGACAGTCCCACTCCAAAGTTATTTCCCTGCTCTGTTCAGAGCTGGTGCCTTGTTAGATATTTTTCAAGATTTGGAGTACAAAAGGGAAATCTGGTAGAGCAGTGGAGCTCCTCTTCCTGCACACCAGCACTTCCAGCTTCTCCATGCTGTGATGTGTAGCACACCAAAGGCAAAGACCAACCACTGGCTGCACTTTAGTTATTCACTTATTTGTTTTTCAGGTTCAGTAATTGCCACACGCAACCAGAAAATTGTTTTCCAGTGTATTCATGAACTCCATTCTCTCCTATTTTTCCTCTTCTTTGAGGATGTCACAGCACCAGCTGTAATCCAGCTTTGGATGGTGAAGAAAGCTCCCTGCTTTGCTTGGCAGTGTTTGGCACTGGATTGCTCAGTTCATGCCCACCCTCTGCAGTCAGGGAAGTTTCTCTGCTTTGGGTTTGGACATGGTTGGGAAGCATCCCTGTGGCACAGCCTGAGACATGGACACCCCAGCCCACAGGGCCTGCTGCTCCCTGTCCCACACTGCTGTCCTGGTGGGGCAGTGAACAGGTGCAAAAGAAGGAACAGGGATTTTAGGAGAGTATTAGGTAAGGGCTGGGGAGACTTGACTATAGGAGAGATTTATCTTGGAGACATCTATCTAAGATTGGAGACTAGAGAATGGGACATTTCAATTTCTCTTCCAATCCTAATTCCCATGACTCTGCTTCCAGCACAAATACCAAACCTCTCCTTTAGGGATCCTCTGAGGGGTAAGAATGGCAACACCATTTGGGCCTCACAATTTTCACAGCTCTCTGCCCTAATACCCGGCAGCTTTTTCCCCAGTCTCCCAAACAGGGAAGAACTCAGCAACCATGGGTGATCTGGACCACTAGGAGCGGGATCACACATGACACTGATGTGGGATCACACGTGACACCAGGCCACTGATGTGACCAGCATGGAGTCTGCCTGTGGGCATTCTGCCTGGCTCCCCCAGGATGCTCAGGCACCAGCAGGGCCCTGGGAATGGGAGGAGCACAGGGAGGAGGCCAGAGTGGCTCAGATTCCATCTCCATGGGGTCTGAGAATCCAGAATCTCCACCTGGAGAGCCAGTCCCTTCCCTGCCCCATTTTCCCAAGGGATGACAATGCAGAGCAAGCCAGCCCCAGCACCGCCTGCTGCTGCTGTGGAAGTTACCTATGGCGAACTCGTCAAAGGTGAGCGTGGTGAAGTTTTTGCCCAGAGGATTCGTGACTGTCAGCGTCACCTTGTACTTCACTGTCGAGAAGAGCTGGAGGTATCTGATGTGACACCTGTTTTTGGGAACGGCATCCTTCTCACACACCATGTCCTTTGTGCCGTGTCTGGAAAGCAGAGGTGACAAGAGCTGTTACCTGTGGATGCAGTTTCCCAAGCTGCTGGAGGAAGGAGGCAGGCTGTGCAGCTCTGCATGCCCGCTAAGACAATGGTCCCCATGCACCAGCCCTCACTGCAGCCTAAGGGCTGCTCTCCTCCTGCCAGGGAATTGTGTGGGCTCCTGTCTATGAGGTTTTCTCCCAGGCCTACACAGAGGCTTCAGTGAACATCCTCATGCTGGCCCCAAGGGAAGAATGGGACCCTGCTGGGGTTGGGTTTGGCTCTGGCCCTCCCATGGGAGGAACAAGGTCTCCTGATGGTGACACAACCTCAGAAGATAATACATGGCATCAGCCCACATAAGGGCTGTGCCAGAACTCTGGCTCAGGGTAGGGAATGATGCCATGCCATGGCCAGTTCTACGTGAGACACACTGCTGCTGCCCGACAACAATCAGTTACACCAGGAAAAGAGCATGGTTGTGCCAAATGTGCCAAAAAACAGTGGGCATAACATCCACTACAGACAAGTGGTGCAGGGACAATGGTCTTTGGAAGCACAGAACGGGGACCTGGGGGATGGGGACTTTCTTGGTCCCTTCTAAGGAAATTGAAACTTTCTTGGCACAAAGTCCTCATCCCAAACATCCAGTTTATATGTCCTCAGAAAATCCTTCCCCATGCCCATTTTTGGGACACTGATGTCATATGCTCAGCACAGGTCAGACCCACTGCCCCAAGACTTCGTGGCACTACCTGAGACCTGCTCCAGGCTGTGGGGACTAAAACTCACCCTGCTGCACCCTTCATTCCCAGACACTCACATGACAGAGATGTTGAAGGAGTTGGGTATGTAGGTGGGAGTGGGCAGGTGCCAGCTGCAGTAGAAACCCTTTGGGTAGTTGTTGGACCGGCACATCAGCACTGGCTCCTTCGGGGGCACTGCCAGGGAAAGAGAAAAGGCAATTAACCTAATTAACCTCCTGATGTGGGCTTATCACCATGTTCTGAGCAAAGGGACGACCCACCACTGCCAGCTGCTACCACACTGGGAGGGGAGAGTTTGCAAGGGAAGACTGGTCTGTGTTGGAAGGATCTGGGGGTCTTTGCCCCTGTCTCCTGCTGAAGTCCTCCATGGCACCTTGCTTTGGGCTGGGAAGTGCAAAGCTCACCTCCTTGGGCAGCTCACTGCTTCTAATGAGTGGTGGAGTGATAGAGATGGTTTGCAGGTACCAGGGAAAATTGTCTTCAAGGCTGTGACAGGGATGTTGCTGATGAGGAGGAGGTGCTGCTCTCTTGACCCCATTAATCTACACTGCTCACAGCTTTCTCTGCCACACCCCTGGGGAGTGATAAACTTATTGAGGGATGGTCCTCCAAATGATCAGAGGTCACCAAAGGGAGGAAGAAGGACCAAGATGAGGACGAGCAATCTAAAACCAGTGGAGACAATCCAGCTCTGTAAGAGGACTAACAGTGTTGATGCTTTTGGCATGGGGAAGAGCATCCCTGACTCTGCTGCACTGCTTCCAAAGAGTCATAGAGGCAACAGGAGACAGGATAAGAGCACCCAGGGGGAGCAGCCTTCCTCTGGTGTGGAAGCTTTGGGATGCATCTCCTAAGTTACACCCTGTTGGCTCCTTCCTCCGTTCCTATGTCTGAACACAGGTGCTCCTGAGCCACTGCCTCCCATTTCCCTTACTGGCCCTTATCTTTGTACTGCCCTGAGACCAGGGTCAGCCCCCAGGCCCCTAGAGAAGGACAGGGGGACTCTCCATGTGTGTGGGCTGGGACCTGAACATCTCACCATGCTGCTGAATTAAACATCTGTGGATATTATGCAAAGGTCATTTTTGCTTCTTTACCTTGGACTTTACTAGTAGCATTTTAGGCCGCAACACTCTGGCCTCGCCAGCTGATCCTAGAGGTTGGAGGCATGAGAGGGTTTTAAACCCAGTGAAGTGTTTACACTGTACTTGGCTTTCCTGGAGGCATGTGCAGTGCACTCTGCTTTCTGCAGGAGCACAGCAAGGGCTGCAGGAAAGCTCTGCGAAATGCTGAGGGAAGGTGCATGCAAAGAATGAGATTTGATACATTTTGGCTGATAAATTTTGCCCTTGTGGGTAAAAACCTTACCTGATCTGACACCAAAATCAACTCTTCTTGGTACCCAGGCACTTGCACTGATTGTTAAGAACAGCACCCTGGCACACAGTGCCTTGCCATAAAATACACTCTCTGGGCTGGATGTGCGCCAGGATTCCCCTTGGAAAGGCTGTCTGATCCTGTGGTGCTCCCTCTTCCCCTTCCTTCGTCAGCCCTCATCCCCATCCGTCCACTGGGAGTATCCCAGGACCTGCTCTTCTCTCTCAGCAGGCGTTTTGAATCAAACCGAGCAGACCCGGCAGCCCCGGAGCCCAGGTGTCGCTGGTATGGCACACGCTGGGGCACAGCTTTCTCGGGAACGAGCCCCATCTGCGGCTGGAGCCTACAGCCTACCACGGTCTACACCGGGGAAACTGAGGCACAGGCCTTGCGCACCCCTGGGGCAGGGCTTGGAGGGCAAGCGGCTGATAATGGAGCCAAGCGCAGCAGAGTCAGGGAGCAAGGAGGAGAGGGAGCGGGAGCAGAGGGGGCCGGCGGGAGGGAGGGAGGGAGGGCTGTGCCGCTCCGCTCCGTGTTCCTCCTAATGGCCATTTCAGCCTTCAGCCGGCAGACGAAGGCCAGAGCCTGGTTAATGAGCCTCCGGGTTAAATTATTCAAGCAGACCCTCCACATCCAAACAGAATGGCTAATCGCAAAGCCAGAGACAAGGGCCTGATCCCTGATACAGCGCCATCCTCTTCCTCCTCCCCGCAGGCTCCTTAACCCCTTCCCTGCCCGCCCTGGGCAAGGGCAGCATTGCTGTTTGCGGGGTGCAATGGGGGGGTCGGGGGCGTCCCGGGGGGGCTGAAGGGGTGCAGGGGGGCTGGGGACAGCCTCTGGGTGCCGGGTGACCGCGTGGTGGCACTGTGGGCTAGCAGCACCTGCCCGGCAAAGCGGGATGGGGCTGGCACTGCTGCTCGGGGATGCCGGGGACACCGGGGATGCCACCGTGGGCGACTCGCACACTTGCTGCTGGTGCTCAGCTGTTCCTCTCGGGACCGGGAGTCGCAGGGAAGCCGGGCTGAAGCAGGCGGGGCTTTTTCGAGCATTCCTGGAGTCCTGCAGGGTGCAGCCCTACCGGCGCGGCACAAGATGCTGCACTGCTGTGCGCCGCAATTAGTCCATCTCAGGATAATTTATCTCTGTTGTCTCCAGTATCACGCCGGATCTGGCTCTTGGTGATCTGTGCTAATTCCTCCGCTGAGGAGGCTGGGGCGGGCTCACTCCTCCAGGTTCGTTTGGCTGGGAGGAGGAGGGAGGGCTGCGCATCCTGCATCCCGCTTCGATCCCCTCTCTGCAGCAGCCTTTGAAGGTGCCCCATTTCCACAGCATTGAGTGCCGTGAAAATCCTGCCCTCTGCTTCAAGGCTGGCCCCCAAGAGCAGCCCCAACCTTTTGTGTCCAGCCTGCTCCACCTCTCACCCTCTGGTGCCTTTCAGCAAGACAGAGGTGGAAGGAGGGCCTGGGGAAGGGAAATAAAGTGATCCTCACATCTCTGCCCTCCCGATGCAGAGTTCAAGGACAGATGCAGCCCAAGGGAAGCTGCTGTATGGAGCCTGTCTCAGCCCAACCTTTGCCCTCTTTTTCTGTCAGGCAGATATCCCCTTTTCCACCTTGATGGGCAGAAGGTTCATGGCAGAGTGTGAGGCCCATGCAGTGTGCCACTGGGGGCTGTGACATGGGTGACCGTGGCCACCACTGCCAGGCACCACAAAGGATGGAGCTGCAACCCCTTCCCAGCTGCCTTGCTGCATCAGGAGGGCTCTCTCTGCCCACCCAGCCTTGGTGTGTTCTCCAAGCTGGTGGCAGGTTCCTCATCCTCCTATGGGAGATGGCAGCCTGCAACCTTGTTCCTCTCCCCTCCTCTCCCAGGAAAGGCGCTCACTGGCACGGCTCATGCTGCCCATCAAAGGCTCTTAAAGACAGCAAATAAAATTGCAGGCTCCAATCGATCCAGCGTGCTGTAATGCTGTCTTTGGAGGTCGGCCAGCCCATCAGGCCAACAGAGAGAGCAAGAAAGGCAGTGGAGGAAAACAAAGCCATCAAGGGAGCAGCATTAAAGGCTTTTTCTGCCCTGAGGTTTTAGGCAGTGCTGCTGGGTGTGGGGTGTCCTGCTCCAACCTTCTCCATCCTCCCCTAGATGATGTCCAGCTCTCAGCACCTGCCCCACACCACAAACAGCCCAAACAACAGGTTGAGCTACTCGGGCACTCCTCCCTGGGCTCCTGCACACAGCCTCCCTAATTCTGGCAAATATTTACACCCGTGTTGCTTCATAGAGCTGCTGAACTCTGTAAAAGCAGAGCTCTCTTCCTTCTGCCACAAACAGCGCCTGCCCTCTCTAATCTGTCTATTAACCTCTTGCATGGCAGGGAGCCACTTCTCCCATGTGCTCTGCTGATGTCCTCTCTGAAAACCCAGCATGTTTAATGCCTGGCTGTGGCAGTTTCCCAGAGGCTTGGGTTGCAACCAGCCTCGCTGCAAAAGCCCTGGGTGAGGTGAGGAAAGGCTCAGAGCTGAGCACGTCCCATCTGGGCATGTGGCTCACAAACTGTGAGATGCTCCAGCAAAATATGGGTCTGCCACATCAGTGAAAGCTGGTGCCAGGGTCACTGTCCCTGCAGATCCCTGAAAAGGCCAGTGGCAGGGATAGAGCTGGCTTTCCCAGCCTCATGCTTTGCATCCATTTAACTCTGTCTCTACAGCTTTTTGGAAATAGCTGTCACTTGACCAGCTTCAGGACTTCTGCTCAGCTGGGGACAGCAGTAGTCCTGGAGGATGAAACAGCTCTGGATACACCAGCACAGAAACCGATTTTTGTTTCCCTCCTCATCTCTAAAGCCCAGTTGTCCTTGTACCCTGAGTCCCACTGTGCAGGGGAAAACTGTGACCAATCCATTTTAGAAACCACTAAAAATGATCTACAAGAGCTTTTCTAGCTCTGCTAGGTCATGAGATAATGGACATTAAAATCATGACACTTTTATATATAGAAAAGTTATTTTAGGTCACTTTTAGAGGTTTCTGAAATGGATCAGTTATAATTTTCCTCTCCTGCTGAGGGCTGAATGCACTAAAGATGCCTTGCTCCACAGGTGGAGGGACCCAAAAAATAGCACCAATAAAAGTTTTAAGAGGCCTCTCAAACACTTCTGTAGGAGGTATTTTTTCTGGTGCACTCGGGGCACATTCAGGCGCTGGGCTGATGGGGGATAATGAGCCCATGGTGTGCTTTTGGGGTCACCTGCATAACTCATCATCTCGGTCTGGGGCCAGCGAAAGCTCCAGGGTCCATGGCAGCAGCATGTGCTCGAGCTAGAGGTACAGCTGTGACACAGCCTGCCTGCACACGGGCAGGAGCCGCGTGCTGCCCCACAACCAGTGCTGTTCTGCTGCCAAACTCCTGCTGCTTGCACCCCACGTGCCCATGGCAGGAGCAGTGGGCACTGGTCCAGTGGGCACATGGGGTGCAAACAGCAGGAGATTGGCAGCAGGAGTTTGGCATCACCCAGTGACTTTTTTTTTTCACACCAGTGCTGTGGTGTGAAATACAGAATACAGAGAAAAAGCCACCCAACTGACCAAAAGCAAAGGTGCAGAGGCTTGGACAGCACAACAGGAACCCACCTGGGCACGAGATGCCAGCACTGAGCACGTGGGCACAGACCTTGCTATTCCACACACGCATCCACACAGATGCTTTTGTTATGCACATGCTGGCTGCCAGCACGATGTATTATTTATCTAATGCTGCTTTTCTAAAAGCCTGTTTGTGTACAGGAGGCTGGTAGGAAACAA